CCCCCTGCTTGATCGAATCGCTGGAGTTATTGAGTCTAGAAATGTTTTGAGTCATTTAGGAATTATATATATCAGAGAGTTAGGACTTCTTTTTACTCCTCAGTCCCTTCGTCGCTCTGGTGAGGCATCCTGACGTAGAGTTTTGACTCTTCTCTTCTCAAATTTCACAAAAAAAATTAGGATCATGCGGGTATCTTGGAATCGTATCGATGGTTTTGTGACGAGAACATTGTTCTTGGTGCCTCCTGACATTGAGGGGTTGTGGCAGTGTCCCGGGGAGTTCAGCTCCGAGGGGTTGTCGTCACAATTTTATCGTTGCAGTTCTGGAATACCTGAGTTTAGTTTCGCCGACATAGAAAATCTCTTTTATGCAGTTGTTGGTGAGATAACCTCAACGCCACCCAGTACTGGGGCGGGAGTTCGGGAGTATTGCCATAACTCGTATAACGGATGCTTTTCGAAGGTTGAGGTAGACGATTTCCGAAGGTTTCTTGGTTATGTGTTGAAGGATGGATATAGCTGGATGTAGGATTTGCTAGTTTTGGGTGAGATATTATGCTTCCCCTATATCCCCAACACCTGATTGCATAACCGGGAAATTTCGGGAGTTTATAAGTGGGAATTCACGTAGCTCCTAAGATATCTTTCCGACATATGTATGATATGAAATTGGGGTTCGACGTCTAGTGGTCCGCCTATTCACGGTTGGTTTTACAGTGGTCTCGTTGTGTCTTAAAGAGTCCTTGGCTATGCCGACTTGGGGACGCTTCGTATGTGCACTGCCTTGTACATGATGGTGCTGTACGGTCGAGCCCGTGTAGGCCCCACCACGAAAACTTCAGACGAAATCTCTATCATATGTTTGTTCCGGCTTATTTTGCAAGCCAATCATTTGTTTTTGTTTTCAGTTGTGGTATTCGAGTTGCTTCAAAGTCAAATGTTGATTCCATACCTTTCCTAAGTGCTGTTCTCATATTCCTATGTGAATACTAATCCTCCTTGATAATCGGGATTGTCACGACAATCCTTTTGAACCGGTGTCTCTCTCTTCAAGTGGATCCGTTCTTTTTCAACATTTGCAAAATTCAATGTCAGCTTTCTCAACGGTGTTCGATTCATCTGGCCCAATTTGTCTTTTGTTTTACCCGCCCTCCCACCCGTGTTTCTTCAAGGACTCATATTTCTTAATCAAGTATCCATCTTATTCATGTGAAGCCTCTCCACTCCTTTTTCCGTCAATGTTCTTATCCGGGGATTCTCATGAAGATTTTAACGGAGCCTCAGGGTCATCATCCTTAATTCTTTTCTTCTTCGGTAGTTTCAAGTCAAGCTTTGTTGATCATACCCTTTCCTCATTTCAAGGCTTTCTCATGCCAGTGCAATTCTTAATCGTTCACCTCTCGCTATCCTATTGTCCCGGAGTGCTCAAGATATCTCAGAAGGCTCGTCTTTTCATTCAAGATCACTTCAACCTATTTCGAGTTTGTTATCTCATTCAAGCCATTTAATTCAACCGGTGCATTCTCTCTTTTAAATCCTTCAACGGTGTTTCTTTTGAGTGGGCCCTAACCCACAGGTCTTTTCCTAGGATCTTACCTGACTCTTCTAATTCTCCCGAAGCTATCCTCAAAAATTCTTTTCAAAGTTTGACATAAGAATGAATTGTCATCAGTCAAATGTCTTTCTCCAAGATCGGTTAAATTCTTTTCACCATTGGCTCAACCTTTCCATTCTTCATTCCGGAGTGTCTAAATAATTCATGGTGGTGTTTCTCGTCATCATTCTCGGATTTTGAAGACCGAAGAAGAGTTGCTCTTTAATCTTGCTCCATTCTCTTCAAGATTCATGATTCTACCTTGTTGCCATCCTCTCGTAATTGTTTTGATCATGAGAATTCTTTTCACCTATCCGGAGCAATTCAAGGGTCTTCTCAGTTTGTTATCCGGAGTCCATCAATTCAGGTTTATTCATTCTCAGCTGTCAGTTATCATTCTCCTATCTTACCGGTGCTTCGTTCAAGTAATCTCTAATCAGTTCGTGATTCCTTCGTTCTCTTATATCTAAATTATCTCAAGCATCTTCATTCATTTGCTAATTCTTCCCTGTGTTTCTTTATATTCTCTTAATTCACTTTCAATTCTTACAGTGGTTTTCTCAAGATTCTATTCCATGGTTATCATATCAACTCATTCGTTGTTTTCCAAATCCTACCGATGGCTTGTTGAAGACTGTCTCAAGTTTGCGCTATATCTCGCGTAATCCTTTCTACGAGAATAAGTAGTATGCCAAATCTGTTGCTTGTCATCAATTAATTGGTGAAGGATAAGCATAATGTAATTCTTATTCTTGTTTCATCCAAGTGATTTAATTTCTTATTCCGAAGGTTCATCAAATTCTCGATTCAAGTTGTCCATCTTTCTTTTCCGGAGTTCCAAGTTTCCACTCTATCTCGTCGCAAAGCTTCATCTAATCATTACAAGGTTTTACCTTGTGTTTTCAACTTCTCTTTCTTTCCGTTATTATTTTGTACCGGAGTTCTTCATGGAGATTCTACATGGTGGTTCATCAAGGTTTTAAATTCCTTCTCGAAGTGTTCATCAACATTCTTTTCTTAGGAGCTCAAGTTTTCTTCATCTTGCTATCCGGAGTGCAATTCTTTCTTCCGTATCATTAGAGGTGGTATTATGTCATTCTTGATAATTTGAGTTCATGTTCCATGATTCACATGTTGTTAAGAATGAGATATTTTAAACCCATCAATCTTGTCATTGGAGTTATCTTGGGTTATAGTTCAACTAAAGCCTTCCCTAAGGATTGTTGCTATTTATGGTGTTCATAAATGACCCAAGTTCATCATCTTTCCTCCCGATGAAATAGTTTATCGTCTCCTTGTTGATATCAATCCAATCAAATCTTTTTCGTGAGTGGCAAGTTGTCACCTCATAATGTTGAGATGCCTTATATAAGACCATATCAAGCTTATTCTTTTCGTTGTTGGTTTCCAACAACTCCATTCAAACCTTCTCCTAAAGATGCTTTTGCAAACTCATTTAAGGTAGAAGATATTGTTTTCTTCTCCGTTCTTTTGTTCCGACGACCCAACTTCTATTCTTTCTCCCGAAGGTCTAGTGAGGTTGCTCTTTTCACTCCTCATCTCGGTTTGTCAAGATCATGTTCAATTCCTTCCTTTTCCAATCGGAGTGTCGTGTTTTCATTCAAGTATCTTATCATCTTATCAAGTTCTTATTCAACTCCTTTTTTATTTTCAATCGGAGTGTTGCCCGAAGTTGTTCTTCCTTGTTCCTCTTTTCTAACGGAGTGTTTTCAACTCCGTTCATCTCTGTTGTATTCTTTTCTTGAAATGGCTTAACCTTTTCAAGGTTCTTTTGTTTCACTCGTTTGGCAAAGAAGCAACTTAGTTTTACCTTTTCTCTTTTCTCTTTTGTTTTCCCTCCGGTGCCATGTAGATCTCGGGATGAGATCCTCTCGTAGTGGTGGAGTGTTGTAACGTTCCAAGACCGGAGCTTCAGATGCCTTCCAGGGTTTCCGGGTTTTCATCGTGTGATTTGTTTGGTCCGTTGCATTTCATCTTTGCATCATGTGCATTGCATCATGTCTTCTTGCACCTCTTCTTAAAACTCAACTAAATAAAATGCATAGATCTTTGATCTATTTAAATTGAGGGAACTCACCTGGTGATTTCTCTATATAACTTATCCTCCCAATATTTTAGGGAGCTATAAAAAATATTCCATTCTTTAGGAATCGACCTAACACACTTGAAAATTATCCCAATGCCTTTGTATCTCAAGTCTTGGTTTCCAACCTTGCCATATATCTCTTGCATCATCTTCCGGAGCTCCATCAAAAATCCGAACATTTTTGGACCTTCCCAACCCTCACTTCCTATTCAAACCATTTGAATTAAATCCAAATGCGTTTCAATTTAATTCCGCAATCTTGCCACTTTTATTTTTCTGTGATCATGCTTATTTTTATGAGTCCAGGAAATTTTTCATCCTGCTCAAATTCTTTCCCTAACCTCCCTCTTTCTTTTTCTTCCCCTTAAATTGTTTTCTGCTAAAGAAAATGGGAAGAGGAGAGAGAGATAGCTCGTGCCAAGCCTGCCCAACCATCTCCGCGGCCCACCTAGGTTGAGCCAGCCTACTTAAGGCCCACCAGTGGCCTGCCCTAGCTGGCCCGAGGCCCAGCCGCTACACCCCTCACCCGTCGATCCCAACTTTCTCCCTCCGCTGCCAGCGTCCGATCCCCTCGCTCATCTCTCCCCTTCGTCCTCCTCTGGCACCGCTCCTCTCTCCTCTCGCTCTCTCCCTCGCCCATAGCACCGGCCTCCCCGTCCTCAGCTCCTCCTCCACCTCGCCTTGGCGCTGCGACCACTGGTACCCTCCTCCCTCTCCCATGCGCCGCCACCTACCTCGCACGCAACCCCACCGCCGTGCGCCACCGTCGTGCTGCGCCGGCTGACGACCTCGCTCGGCCCGAGCGCCACCAGGAGCCTAGGCCCCGCCGCGTTTCGGCCGCCGCCAGCGAGCACCTCCGTCGAAGCCACGTCCGCTCGCCGCCCCTCCCGCGACTCTCTACCTCGTCACCCGCCGTTGACCAAGGTCATTGTTCCCCTGCCTCGTCCTCGGTGCCTCGTCCCCGAGCTTCGATTTTGTCGCCGCTTACTCCTCCCTCGCTGTCCTCTCGCCGGCGAGGAGCACCACAGGTCGTCCTCGCCGTCGCCGCGACCAGGAGGTGCTCGTCCGCCTCTGCTCCACACCACACGACCCTCTACGTCTGTGGCTTCGCCTCCTCTTCTCGTTGCTTGTCCGCCAACGACCACCAGGAGCACTGTTGCCTCCACCTCGGTGCTCTTCGTCAGCCTCCTCCCCGTGCAAAAGCTCCTGTCTGAGCCGTCCCCTTCGTTCAACTTGGTTGCTGCGGCCGCTGCATTAATCTTGCCTGGTGCAGCACATTTCCAATGAATGGCAGCCCAGATGGTTACCTCCACGCCAAGTACCACGACCCACAAGACCGAGAATGCCAAGAACCCCTTCGAACTATCAAGACCGCAGGACCACGCGGATGACTACCGCACCGGAATGTCAAGTACCTCTGCCGAAGACTCCCACCGAAGACACGTGTACGACTACTACATAAACGAGTACCGAACGAATCACCAAGACCTACGAGAACGACTTCGTGGACCGACAAGTACCATGACGTCCGTCGATCGCCAAGTACCCCTTCGGATACGCAAGTTCCTCGAAGGTCCACCGAGGCCTAGTACGACTACAGGACCGGAACGAAGTACCACGATGACCATTGACATGTACCACTACACCACACCAAAACGTCAAGACCGTCCCGGATATTGCCAAGTACCACTTCGGTTTCGAAACGCGACGAGTACCACGACTACCCACGAGGACCTTGGTTCCATCAAGTTCGACTACCACGTGTGTACAACTACCGCCGCCGTGAGTTTCGACAAGACGTCGTGTGGCTCTATTTCTACTACCGTCCCGGTGATCACAGATGAATGATAGCACGACTACTTCCACTACGGCATGAGTACAGCTACTACCTCTACGAACATGGCGAGACCGTCTACTTCCGCTAAGAACTTGATCCGTTTCGAAAGGTCTCACCTCAAAGGTATAACCCCGAGACGACGCCCGTGAACGAATGAATGCATGTTGGATGAGATGCACCCTTTGTCTGCATCGTGTCCGTATTGTCACTCGTTTCCATGCCACTAACTCGTGAGACACCCGGTATCCGGGAGTGCCCCACCATCTGTTGCACATATCCGCACACTTATCCTTTGCATCGGTTTCTCAATCGAGTTACCGGAACCGGAATGTTGCCGCGGCATCATTTCTGTTTCGTTGCCGTGGCACCCCTTTCTTTCTACCACGGTGACAAATGCTCTCATCACCCTCATGTCAACATTCTCTTAAACTTGCATAAACTTGAACATGACATCCGCATCATGATAACAACATTTAATATGTTTAAAAATTGTTGTTGCATTAAATTGCTAATGCCTACGGGGTTTTACCGAAATTGTTGCTTGTTGTTTCGGCCTCATTTAAACTTGCCTAAATGTTTAGTTTACTTATGCTTCACCTCTTGCCATGTTAATCAGCATTTAATTTTGTTGGGTACTTAAACAAGATCGAACTAAATAACTTGTTGTAGTGTTTCGTCAATATGCAACTCGTTGCATATTGATCTCCACTTAATTTGTAGAATTGCTTGTGCACTTTGCCATGCCATGCCTCATTAAACCGGACATGCATCATACTTGATTGCGCATCGTGCCATGTTCATGTGATGGTTGTTTATTATGTTGTTTGCTCCTTCCCGGTGTTGCTTCTTCTGGCTAGTTCCGATAACATCGCGTTTGTGAGGACACGTTCGACTACGTCCGTTTGTCTTCTTCATGGACTCGTTCTTCTTCCTTGCGGGATTTCAGGCAAGATGACCATACCGTTGAAATCACTTCTATCTTTGCTTGCTAGTTGCTCGCTCTTTTGCTATGCCTATGCTGCGATACCTACCACTTGCTTATCATGCCTCCCATATTGTTAAGCCAAGCCTCTAACCCACCTTGTCCTAGCAAACCGTTGTTTGGCTATGTTACCGCTTTGCTCAGCCCCTCTTATAGCGTTGTTAGTTGCAGGTGAAGATTGGAGTATGTTCCTTGTTGAAACATGGACATTTTGTTGGGATATCACAATATCTCTTATTTAATTAATGCATCTATATACTTGGTAAAGGGTGGAAGGCTCGGCCTTATGCCTGGTGTTTTGTTCCACTCTTGTCGCCTTAGTTTCCGTCATATCGGTGTTATGTTCCTGGATTTTGCGTTCCTTACGCGGTTGGGTTATAATGGGAACCCCTTGACAGTTCGCCTTGAATAAAACTCCTCCAGCAATGCCCAACATTGGTTTTACCATTCGCCACCTAGCCTTTTTTCCCTTGGGTTTCGCGGACTCAAGGGTCATTTTATTTTAACCCCCCCGGGCCAGTGCTCCTCTGAGTGTTGGTCCAAACTGAGCTACCTGCGGGGCCACCTCGGGGAAACTTGAGGGTTGGTTTTACTCGTAGCTAGTCCCATCTGAGTGTGCCCTGAGAACGAGATATGTGAAGCTCCTATCGGGATTTGTCGGCACATTCGGGCGGTGTTGCTGGACTTGTTTTACCATTGTCGAGGATGTCTTGTAACCGGGATTCCGAGCCTGATCGGGTCTTCCCGCTAGAAGGAATATCTGTCGGATTTCGGGTTCCGACATACCCTTGAGGTTCGAACACTTGGGTGCGCACGGAGATTTCGCCTCCTACCCACCTGCACCCCTCCGCCTCGCTAAGATCTAAGCTATGGAAAGAACAACACGAGAGACACAGAGTTTATACTGGTTTGGGCCACCGTTGTGGTGTAATACCCTACTCCAGTGTGTGGCGTGGTGGATTGCCTCTTGGGCTGATGATGAACAATACAAGGAAGAACAGCCTCGCAAGGGTCTGTTCTTGGCTGGGGCGATGAACTGCTGGGAGGAGTTCAGTCACCCCTCTCTCTCTCTCCGATTGTTGATGCCCCAACCTCTAGCCTCTCTCTCTCTCTGATTCTTTCTCTCCTCTGATTCACTGATCTCCTCCCTCTCCTGTGGGGGGCTGATCCTATTTATAGAGGCCCTGGTCCTCTTCCCAAATATCGAGCGGGAAGGGAGCCAACAATGGCGGGCTAATTTGAAGGGGGGCAGCTAGTACCAGCTATCCTGACAAAAGTAGTCTTTGCCTGCACAAAGCTCTGGTGGTGACGCCGTCTTGGGCTCCACGATGACCTCCGTCTTGCAGTCCTCCTGGTCTTGGTCTTGTTGCACCGAAATGGCAACCTTTGCCTGACCCCTCGGTACTCCGCGGCTACGCTTGCCCCCTTTGCCCCGAAGAGGAAAGGAGGACACTGCGTGGGCTGGCACCCGCCTGGCGCCTTTGGTCGTCATGGCTTGCGTCACGGGCACCTCGTGAGGTACCCCGCCTTGATCTCTCCGCCTCCTCGCGAGCCAGCCTAGTGAGGCCCTGCCTGAGGAAGCTCCGCGTCGTCCGCCCCGCGAGGCTTGGCCCCTCGCGAGGGTCTTGGGTCTGTGTTGGTGAAGATGGGCCGTGCTGGGCCCCCCTTTGAGCCACGCCGCAGGCCGTAGGTAGGCAAGTGTGGGGATCCCCGTTCCCAGAACGCCGACAGTAGCCCCCGAGCCCAAGGCGCGCCCGGACTTGGCCGTGCAGGGAGGCGCAAGGGCAAGAGCGAAGTGCCGTGGGCCCTAATAGCCTGCGGCCTTGGGCGCCGCGTGGCGGTTGATTGGACGTGGGCGTCTCCACTTCCCCATGGCGCCTCGACAACTGCACGAATTGGGCAAATCCCTACATGGAAAGCGGGTCATGATTACCTACGATCGTGGAGGTCGGTGGTTGGCCTTCGCCGGCCATAAGTACAGAACGGCATGCGCCCTTCCAGTCCATCCCTCCTTGCTTCTCCTTCTTCCCGGTTCTTGCTCCGTCTTGCTGCGATGGCTCCGATCCGCCAGTTCTCAACGGCAGAGAAGGGAAAGGCTCCCCGAGAGGTACCAGACCCGCTCCCGCCGAAGAAACAGCTCATCCTCCGTTGCCCAGACGAGGGGGCCCATCAGGTGGTGTCGAGGCCTTGGTGCGAGCGGGCACCGCCGGGGTTCCCGCTTCCCTTGTACGCCCACATCGAGGGCCCTGAAGGAGCTAATCATGATCGCCACGGGCGGCGCCGCCGTCGGCGCCGACGGGTCACGAAGGTGTGGGTCGTCCCCCCTAGGGTCCACACCAAGGGCTCTTCCCGAGAGCTCGTGCTCCACGTCGCCATGCCTCCTTAGTCTTGGACTCGCCTTCCTCCCTTCTTCGCCTCCATCGTCCCGCAGGGATAGCCCCTGGAGCTTTGGCTGCAGCACGCAGGCTGTAGCACCCTCGCGACCGAGGCAGAGGTTGCGGTCGTAGCCCCGGGCGAGGTCTTCATGACTCGAGGCTGGAGCGAAATCGCCCAATTTTGCAGGATAAGAGGTGCCTTCGCGATCCACTTGGAATACGATGGTGCTTCGGTGATGTTCTTCAAGGTCTTCGATGTGAATGGGCGCCGACTAGAGTGCTGCCCCGGGAGAGGTGGCTGGGACCCTGCTGCGGCGAGGACTAGGCCCGCCGACCGCTCCCTTGGCGGCTCCTCAGTCGGCGGAGGCACCGGAGGTTCCAGCGACTCCAGCGAGCTCTTCGCGACTCCGGAGGCGAGCGACGACAGCTACGAGCCCCCGAGCCGGCGCCACTCCTGGAGCAGGGCGGGCTCGTCAGGCCGGCATCGCTCCTCGAGCAGGGCGGGCTCGTCAGGCCGCCGCCGACTCTGATCTGGATGGGGTTGGCGCCAGTGCTTGACGGCCCACTGTTGATGATGGCGTCTTCTGCAGGGGCGTGCATAGTTAGTGTCCCTTTAGGATCTGTTCCTTGCGAGGAATCAAAGACGCGTCCCGTGGGGGCTTGTAAGGTGCCTGTGATCCTGTTTTGTTAATATAACCCTTGTCGTAGAATTGTGCGAGTTGCTCATTCCGTCTTAGCTCAGTCCTCCCTTTCGAACCTCACGAGGGCTTGGTGCTCTGCGCCGACAGGTCCCAGTCCCAAGGCGGCTTCAGCCGTCGCTGGTATGCCAGGTCGCGATGCCGTGGTCAAGGCTAGGAGGTGAGCGACCCGGAGTCTGGTAAGAGCCCCTGAGTCGCGGTGCTCAGGAGGTCCCCTTTGGCGCTCAAGCAGCCGTCGTTTGGTGAGAAAGGGGAGCGCGGTCGCTAACACGGGATTGCATTAGGTGCGGGGATGGTGCCACGGTAGCTGGCGCTTCCGGGTGGTGACTTATCTCGAGAATCAGGGGTCGCTCTCTGGTGTGTCGCCCAATTCGTGCATTGGCAGGCGTGAGGTCGCTCGTGACGCAGCCCTGGGGGAGGTGGTCGACGTCCGTGGTCGCTGCAAGGCGTTGGAGGACGAGCTGCAAGGCCTGCGGGACCAGCTCGCGAAAGAGGTCCGCCTTCGCCAAGAGCAGGAAGAAGGCGTGAAGGCTCGCGAGGCGGCCATCAAGGAGAGGGATGTCAAGCTCAGGAAGCGCCGCGACCGCCTAGGCGCGCTGGAGCAGGAGTTGGGGGCGAGGAAGGCCGAGCTGGACGACAAGGCCCTGGTTCTTGCCGAGGACCGCGTAGCCTTCACGGAGATGGAGGCGAAGGCTCGCTCCTCGCTGAGGACGCTTTATGACAGCGGACTGGAGAGCCCGCTGGCTGACGCCGAGGACGGCCCTGCCAAGCTGCTTCCCTTCCTGGTTCGTGCTCTTGAAGATGTCGCCCTTGGCCTTGGCCCCACGGCCGAGGCCGAGGCACATGTCCTGTCTTTCTGCAGCACTGACGCGGGTGCTCACCCACATCTACCTTCGCGATCCCGACGTCGACCTCGACAGCCTGCTGGAGCCAGTAAGCAGCGAGCGTGCCGCTGC